CAGCTGCCTCATCTTTGTGCGGGAGGCCTCACGTGGTGAGGTGATCAAAGAGTGGTTTCCTGATGAAAGGTTGAGTTTATTTGGGAGGAAATGGCAGCCTTCCACTGCTTTGGTTATTAATAATGAAGAATCTCAACTACGACTTGTCTATTTTTATTTAGATTCTTAGTTCTGGTATGTTGGAAATCTGAAGTTTTTCTTTGTCCATTTCACCTAAGTCCAAAGGAAAAACACTGTATTGTTGTGAAGTTTTATTGGGTAGATGCTGGAATTCAATTAATGTTGTTCGTGCTCTCTGAGAAAAAGGTTGTGTGAATATGCAGATATAAAATAACAAAGAATTATCAACTATCAATATTTTTATGTGATTATTTCTAATGTCAGTGAATTGAAATGATCATTGGTGATCACCCTGCCCTTAGGAATTTGGAAATCATGGGGCTTAGTCACTTGCATTTTTCTCATTGATGGAAGAAAGTAACAATTTTTTCTTATCACAGAATGGCCTGGAGTTCTAGTTCCTTAAAGATCATCTAGTTCCAATTCTCTTGCCTTGGGCAGGAACACGTTCCACTAGCTCAGGTTGCTCAAAACCCCATGCAGCCACGTCTTGAACAGTTGCAGAGATGGACTTTAACCCCAGCTGCCAACTAAGTACCACACAGACTTTTGTTCAGCCCCCCCCCACCCCAGTGGGGAATCATAAAGAAAAGGTAAACCTAATAGGTTTAGATAATAATAATAATCTAATAATTGAAATAAAATATTAGTGATACTAAGTATACTAATATGATTAATAAGAATGATAGTCATAAGGGAAGGGGGAGAGAGTAACAGAACCCAAGAGAAACACGTGATGATGGGAGTTGCTCACCTCCTGTTGACCAATGCCCAGCCTATTTCTGAAAAGAGGCATCATCTCCCCACTATTCCAATATTCCTTCGGCCAGTTTGGGTCASCTGTCCTGGCCTTGCTCCTCTCCCAGCTTTCAGTGCAGCTCCTCAATAGCGGAGCATGAGACATTAAAAGTCTTACCCTCTTACTTAGGGTAAACACTACATAGCAACAGCCAAAACATCAGGATGTTATCAACATCATTCTTATACTAAATCCAAACCCCACAGCATTGTACCAGCTACTAAGAAGAAAATGTCCCAGCTAAAACCTGGACAAGCATCCCCGGGTTCTCTGGGCAATCCATTCCAGTGTCTCATCACCCTCACAGTAAAAAATTTCTTCCTAATTTCTTCTTTCACCTTTGTTTTATCACTACTTGCCCTTGTAAAAAGTCCCTTTCCGGCTTTCCTGTAAGTCCTTTTTAGGCGCTTAAGCACACCCTGGAGCATTCTCTTCTCCAGGCTTATCAACCTCACCTCTCTCAACCTGTGTTCACAGGAGAGGTGCTCCAATCCTCTGATCATCTTTKTGGTTTAGATGTTMTCTTAATTTTAATAAACTAGTAATTGAGCTGAATTAAAGTGTAAAAAGTGCTTGTCTATGGCCTTGGCTATGAATGCATGGCAAGTCTCTTCAAGGGTTCGCTATCTTTTACAATCTCCAGTGCTTCATAAAATAATAATTAGGCACTTTACATCTAGTTATAGTTGTAGTTAGTATATATAGTGTATGTAATCATTCATATATAGTAGTTATAGTTACGTTAGTATCTATAGTGTATGTAATCATTCTTTATTGCATATGTGTGCTTTTTAGAGTACTGGATTCCTAGCAGTATTCCCTCTTTTCCTTGTCCTCTACTACAAACATTTCCTTTCTTCTGAACAATCTCATCTTTCATTCTGCCTGTATTAAATTTCTGTAAGAAACCCCAAGACAAAATTTTTAAAATACAACAGATGCATTCTGGAAGGTCACCTGAATCAAACTTGTTCACTGAAAGATACTGAATCTTTCAGATTTAAAAACCTGTGGAAACCAGCTGTTCAGGTAAAGGCTGAAAGTGTGAAATTGAAAAGGAAATTATGGTGAYATTTTAGTCACTATATTTTAATATGGAAAGAGGAGATATGCAAAATAGTCGTGGTATAATCCTCCAAACTCTTGATGATTGCCTGTTTTTGAATTCTGCTTTGAAATTCTACATTCAGTTAATACAGTCATTGCAATACGTAGAACCTGGGAGATAAGCACTGCTTTCTTGTAACTTGGCAGTATGTAAAGGCTGGGATTGTTTTCCTCAGTCCCTAATGCCAACTGTAAATTTACTCTTTATGTAATTATTATAAGCATGTATGAAACTTTGTAAAAGAATAAGGGTCTGAATTTCATGGTCTCATAAATTTAATCTCATAAAGATATAATGAAAAGTATACCCTCAGTTACCAAACCAAATGGATTTACACCCAGCTGATTAAGTGATAACAATTTCATTTTGGTAGGGGAAGAAATCTGTGCTGACATAAGAATAGATACATTTACAACACTGAGTTATACTTTAATTTCCGAACAGCAGGTTTTATAGAATAAATTCTGTTTTCTGGAAACACATTCATTTATGCCTTTAGTAGTCAGAATAGTAAAGAGAAATGTGATAATGGTACTGTGTGCCAAATTCACTATATATTGCTGTGAGTGACATATAAAAAAGGCCTGTTGGAGGAGAAAAGGGAGTGCAGCTTGTAGGGAGAATATATACACAATTTTAAAGTACCAGAAGACTCAGTCTTAAATTACTATTTTCAAATTATTTCATTAAAGAGTAAGACACAGGAGCTTTTAGGGGCCTAACTGATTTCTTATATCATTTTGAACATACTTGATATTTCTCATGTCTTTACTTTGCACTGTCTTTTATTTTGTGCATTGAAATATGTTCATGAGGTTATTCTCACAAAGTTTTTTCCATGTCTTTTGGGTTTTCTTCTAGAAAGCTTCCCCATCCTGCAACCCGAGAGATATTCAAAAGATCTAGRATGACAAACTTCTTTTATGGGGTGCTACTTCCAGCCTTGTAAAATTTCTCTTGTTARTTAGGAACCTTAAATAGGTGTTTGAAGGTCTCAGCTTTTGCTGCCTGTGGTGCACCAGTGCATCTCAGTGAAACTGGCTGTCCACAATACATGTGTGTGCATCTGATGTAGACATTTTAGCAATCTTTTTAGTGCGAATGTTTCTGGGTCATAGCTTCACCACAAAATGTACAAATGACTTGGCTTATTTTTGCCATTAGAAATCTCTCTTTCTGCCCATTGATAATAAAAGAAGTCTAGACAGCTAGCTCAGTTGTAGCCATTTAAACTGTAAATTTCTGTAGTTAAGAGGATAAATCCCATGTCTAAAATGTTCTTGAAATCCTGAGGGATTATGCTTGTTTATGTTCTTAAATTCTCCTAAATGGCTATAATTGGGGAACAGTAATAAGCTTTAAAACATGTTTTCAACTCATTCATATTGCTTGGATTTGGAGAATTTATATTTGATTTTAGAAACTGAAATTATTTAAGAGTTTGAAGAAACAAACCATGCTACATTTAAATCAAGTTTCCTTGTGCTTTTGACAGAAAATATTTTAAATATTTATAATTTTCAGTATTTTTTAGCRTTTTTTAGTCCATTTGAGAAATAAATGCTGGAGTTATTGTTAGGCTGGTCACAGGAAAAGCGAGTTCTTCCCTCAGTGAGTGTGTCCACACTACATATCTTTGTGTATTATGAGCACAGGTTGTTTAAAGATGACATTATGGAGTAGCCTTGGTTTAATATACATTTTTGCAATAAAAGCTGCTTAATTGGAACACAAGGCATACTTCAGTTCATCTTAATTATGCAGCTGTCCCATTATCATTTTTTATTATAYACACAAATGACATTGTGTTGGGCGTACCAATTAAATCAAGTTTATTTTATTGTTGTTTAATATTGTAGYCGTATGTGTCTGCAGCTCAGCAGCCCAGTTCCGCTAGAGCACTTACAGCATTTTGTGCTCCATCATAATGAGTCAATGTCTTGGTTCCTGTTGTATAAAGTAGATGAGGTTGCAAAGATGTGGGTAAGTTTTTCCCCTTTATTTGCACTGTGTAATTGACTGGCTAGCTAAAGTAAAAATCATGGCAACAAAACAGTTTTCCTTTTTATGTTTGTGCCTTTAAGAACAGGCCATACTCTTAAAATTAGAAGTAAAAGCATTTTTTAGTATTTAGGGCTGTCTGAAGATTTTTAGCTGCATAGTAGTGGTGAATGGCAATTTGTTTCTGTCCTGACAAATCCTCTTATTTTAAAATAAAAACTTCACCTGTGAAGAAACCTGAGCCCTTGAATGGCCTGAAAGTTAAATGAATTACAGTCCATTTTGTGCCTTATGCTGTTAATTTTTTTAATTACTTTTTGAATTCAGATGATAGTGATCTGATTTGCAAAACAAGTAAGTGCCCTGTTGTAAGCAATAAGGTTTTGTCTATGACATTTGCAGCAGTTTCCTCCATTATTAGCTGCAAATTTCATAGCCAAACTTAGCAATCACACCTAAGGTCTACAATTCTTTGATATCAATTAATAGTRTTCCAGTGTTGAATTCTTTCAGATTAGTTTAGGTTTTGGTTTCATTTTGAGGTACCCTATAATTTTAAATCATAGTGTAACTTAGCCACTTTCCCCCTGTTTCTCTGTGACTTGCCTGTTTACAAGATCAGTCGGAAAGCTCTATGCACCACTCAGAAGAGTAAATTATATAAAATTCATCTCTGTTGCCCATATACACCCCTGAAAGAACATATTAAAAGCTCTAGAGCTAACGATTCATCTGTGCAAAATGAGTAGCTCATCTTTTGATGTCTGGATGCAGCAAATGTGGTTCCCCTTGRCAGGGGAACCTAGAGTTGGCAGAAGAAGGTCAGTGGACATGGTCCCACGAGCTGAAGGAAACTCATCCCAAGATCACTATTTATTTTCCTCAAAAGGACGTTTTGATGTGASTACAAGTTTAATTGGACCTCTTTCTGGGAGGCCAGTTCCTCTAGCTCACATGTACCAATGTGAAGAATAAGGGATCATCCCTGCACTTCAGCTAAAGAGAGAAAATTATTGTTATGCCTTTCAGCCTGTTGTTGACTCTGATGTAATTCTGGCATGGAGTAAAAAATCAAAATAATGTCCAGRTTTTTTGTTGTTTTTTTGGGTTTTTTTTTTACGTCTTGAGAATTTTGTGTGCAACAGCAARAGCAACTGCTGTGTGCTTGTGCTGGGCTGTTCAGTTGTCTATGGTAAATAGAAAAAATAAAGAAACATTGAACTAAAAGGCAGAACAGCATCCTCTGACAGCTGAGAGTGCTAGGGGAGGAAGGAATTCTTTTAGGACAGTAGTGGCCTGGGGAATTGTCCTTGTTTCTTGAAGATGTCACATGTTTTGACCTCAGCTTCCAGGTTTTGGCAACATGTTATGAGTATGAAAGGTGCAGCCTTTTTGTGGGGTTGCAGGTTTTTTAGAAATAAAAGATTTTATAGCATGTTGAAATTACATTAATGAATGGCCTAAGTGTAGATGCAAGTTTCATGGTTCTAATAGATGTTTTCATTTTTTAAAATAGTAATCAAATATTTAAATTCTCTATGTTTTTAACCAATAATGTGAAACCTTTACCTTTTGAAATGAAGTTAAATATATGAAGTTTCAGACTTAAGAAAATGAACCAAAAAGGTGGTCATCTGAAACTAATGCAGTGAGATTTTTTTTTCTCCTAATTCGTGGGAATTCTTTTTCACATGTTTCAGACCCTGTCAAAAACAGTGAGATCTACCAGAAAAATATCTTCTTGTGGTTAATAATGAAACATGATGTTATGACCTGTTTAGAATGAAACAGTGCTGAATAACTGGCATCTGTATGTATAAATATATAGAAAACAGGTTTATTTTTGAACAATTTGGTTGGAATGGATAGGGGATATATGTAGTTATCCTGGGTAATCCATAGTAATATAACAATATATAGTATGAAAATATCTCTTAAGAAAACATATAAGGGAAATACAGAAAGAGAAAGAAAGGATCAGAGTAAACAGTGCASAGGAAAGATAATCACCACCCACAGATCCAGTGACCAGACTTGATTGTTGTAGTTTTGATGTCCAAAGTGATGGTCACAGTGTTGATCCTTCAGGGGCGGAGGAAGCCCTTGAAACATTAAGGTCAATGGGAGTTGAATTAGTTYGTTATTTTACACATTAGTACATACGAACTAGAGGAACTGGTCCCCCAAACAGGATTAACCTAGAAAGAGGAACAGTTAAGCTTGCATTTAAGTTCAAAACATATGCTCAGGTTCGGTTGGGAACACCCAGATACCTTCCCTTTGGGGGGAGTTTTACACTGTCTGCTGCAACACTGTGAACCATGCACAGTCTTATGGTGGAYGGCCCCAAAGTGAGTCTGGGGGCACACTGAGGGTCTTTGATGGTTGRTGACCTCTTCTAAGACATGACCCCTGTTGTCAGTGTAGTCGAACCCATTATGTCCTATCAGAAGGARTGAAAACCTTCAGGCCAATGTGTGAATGTTTTGATACCTCCCCAGGGGGCACAGGGAACAGTTTTACACCCAGGCCAGTTGGGTAAAGGAGGATTGGTTTACCATGGGCATTCTCCAGTGGTGGATGCACACCTGGGCTGTTTTTACACAGATCAGAGGTTTTGCCGCCACACACCCAAAACCTCTCCTCCTCCCCTTCAGCTGTGGGGTGAAAACTTGGCCTYAGCAGGGCACCCASTGCTTTTGCAAATGGCCAGTTCTTTGACGTTCATTAACTCTTAACCCTCTCCATATGAGCTGCTGTATCAAATGTTGCTGCAAAACAGGATTGGCAGGTTGGKGGATTGGGATGAATCAGATTTATCCTGGTTCTTTCTGTTGTCCTATTTCCTGCTTGCCATCAAAGGTCCTCAGTGGATCTTACATCCCATCTCAGTTCCCCCTGGTTATCTTTCCTAGAGCTCTACGGGACAGTTAATCACTTCTTTTGTAACTATTTCAGCAGGTGAGTAATTGCTCAGTAGTCTTCCATGGCTAGAATGTCAGCCGGGCTTTGGATCCTCAGTACCCTCTCCCTTCATGGAGTTAGAAGCCTGGAAGATCATTCTTGTGTTGGAAATMTGAAGACTCAGCCCTGTTCAACAGTGTTGTTAACCCATTGTGTCCTCTGAGTCCATTTTCAATCTTTGGATAATTCTTAAACCTTTCTCTTTCTGGCTGATGTACTTTCACATTAGCAGCTAGGATTAGACTGATGACTTCTTCCTGCTTTTGGCCTGGTACTATTCTCAGTCAAGGAAAGTTTTTGGTTTGGTTCTAAAACTCTTTTCTGCCTAACCATTGGTGTAATTTCTRTGCTGAATTTCCGACTGAGCAAAAATATTATTGATAAAACTCTGTAGCTGCCAATATGCTTTTAGTGGAATGTATTGGGTGGTGCAGCATTTCCTGAGAGCAATAGATGGCTGTGCAATTTTCGCTAATGCACAGTTGGCCAGCATCCCTATATTTCTAATAATGTCTTCCTGTGTCTTATTTTCTAGAAGGCTTATAYAGTAGTTCCTAAGAGAGCAGTTGTCCCTTTAGGGGAATGGGGAAAAACCTGAATCAACTCTTAGAACTTATGCTTTTCGATACACAAACTTCTCTTTTCCTGTTCAGAAAAGAAATTAAAAGAAATTATGATAGTGAGAGGAACAAAAAGCAAGTAGAAGAGCTGTATGTTCTCCATAAAATCTTTRAGAAATCCATTATWTTGGGAAATCCATGCAGGAATATTKCTATYTGTCATTAATTATCTGTTTTTAAACAAGAGATTTTGTGTTTCTAACAGAATGACTTCTCCAAAATCTGCACTGAGTGTGTCTTGTTTCTAAGAAGAACCAACTGTGTGGTCTGTCCTGCTGTTGGGTTTTTTTTTTTCTAACAGCATCTTTGCAAGTAGTTGTTCCAGAAAGGAGTGATTCTTTATCTCCAAAGTAAGAATATCTCCATAAACTCTTTCAGCGTAAAACACTCCTACTGTGGAAGTGAGTCTGTATAAGATATTAAAGAGGAAAAGGCCTTCCTCAAACTCCAAATTTTATTAATTCATTAATTAAATGTATGTCTGAAGTGTTAAGGTGGAATGCTATTTAAGATTCTCAAARCAAAATTAGGTAAGACAGTGGTTTGTGTGACTTACTAGGGATATGTCTCCTTTAGAAAACATCACTTTGGAATGTTGAGGGAGAAYGATCCTTTTGCTTGTCTCCATTATGCTGTTACCTTGTGCACTTAAAACACAGTAGCCCCTTCAAAACAAAGCCAAAAAGTGACTCTCTTTATTTTGATAACGAGTGGTGAAAAAATGCCACCAAAGTAGCATTTTGCACTAGTAGTATAGTGGTAGTATGTCAGTGGTCAGACAGCAAACTTGTATTTTATTTGTATGTCCTGTAAATAGAAATAAACAGAGTACAATGGATAAGAAGATATTAGTGGTGACTCTAATGATAAAAGGCACCTGAGCATTCATGAAATGCTGGAATTTAATAACACTCCCTCACCCATACTGGAATATTGGTTRTTTTTCAACTTCCATGAATGTAATTTAAATTAAAATGCTAATACTGACAAAGCATGTTACAAAATGAAAGTAAATATATATTTGTCCCTAAAATAAGGGTGAATTGGAAAGCTTTTGCAAAGTAGTCTCTGAGGCCTCTAAAATGTTAAACTAGCAGTGTAAGACATTTTTCTGCCTGCCCTAATTTATAGTTCTGCTCTGCACAGGAACTTTGTAAGAATGGAGCTTAACAGACATTGGGTGAAACATTTCACACCTGGGTGAAACTACTGTTGATAACTTCTATTTATGAAATAATCTCAGAAGCATCTTTCAGATTCAAAGAAAAATATTTTTGTTACTGTTACTATTTAATCATCTTCACATATTTYATTTTATTCACGGCTTTGAAGGCAGTTCAATTACTTGCATGGTTTTKTATTTGTAAACATTTTCTTTGATATGTAAGGCAAGAAATTCTTACCACTTAGCTGTCTCTTTGAGGTGCTAATGCTTTGAGAGTGAGAAAATCAACTTCTGSTTTTCACTCTTATTCTAGATATTAATTGAAAAATTGTGTGAAATAGATTTTCTTTTTAAGAAATTTTGCAAAARGTACCGTTTAATGCATAACTGCTTTAAGTAAAGGGTATACATAGTRTAGTCCAGTTTCTAAAGGCTCACCATTTAATTAGCTTTAAGAATGCACTGGTAGCTTAGATAAGGTGATTTTGCCCTGACACTCAGCAGGAATGCAGTGTTTCTAGTGGAGAAGAGTAGTTTAAAATATAACTGTAAGTAAATAGATCCTGAGGAATTTTTGCAGTCTTGTCCTTTTTGCTCTGTACAATGTAAAGTGTTAACTGGCAGCTGTGTTTGAMTGCACAGGGATTGTTTATGCATTTKAGAAGTATTTGAAAAGTGAAAGAMATACCTTAAAGGCTGTGCTTTCTGTAAGTGCCCCTGATGGAGGAATGAGTATATGATGATTTATGACTTATTATCCAAAGTTGAGTCAACCAAAGGAAGAAATCAGCTTAGTGATAGCAGATGATCTAGTGAAAGGATGACCTAAAATACTTTTTTCAAACCTGTGCTGTKACTATTTCAGAGCTACGCAACATGACTTATTATAGTGCTTAGCCTGCAGTTTTGTTGCATAACAAGAAAAAAAAAAGTATTGTGAAAAATTTGTGGTTGTCAAGGCCAGGGCAAAAGTGTAGGAAGTAATTTTTTTTTTTAAATTATTATTCTGGAGGTGATTTTTTTTTTCAAGAAAGGAATACATTAAACAACTGAATGAAAGTTTTGTGGAATTAGGAAAAAAAAAAAGTATCTTTGGCAATTAGATTGGGTGGTTAATATTAGTTGGTTTTAATTTCATTTTTTCCTTCTTTGCTCCTAGGTCCTSTGTTGTTGCAGATGACATAATCATCTATTTAAATATTTTGTTTTTCTGACTCTTATAATGCGTTTTGCCTCATCTTCACTGTTCGTAACAGAGCTGATAAAATTTTCTTCTTCGCTTCCTTACTAGCCATCTGCATCACTTTGAGGCTGTTTGCTTAGCTTTCTGCAGGCTTGAGGCTTAATGCCAACTTAAAACTTCAAGGGCAGAATACCAGGAGTCCAAAACCAGAGACAACCTCAAAATTTTATCTTTTGAGCATTGGGATCTTTTGGTACAGTTTCAAGAAATTGTACATATTGGGTTTAAGTATAACTAACCTCATATGCATTCTTCAGTCATGGGTTTATTATTCTTTTGTGGAGGAAGGGAGCATTAGGGTGGGTCTTTTTGAGGTTAGTATTTTTACTTTTTTCATCTTTGTTTTAGTGTCAATAACATTTGAAAATGTTGTTAGGGTGAACCATTTGAAGTGCTTACTATTTCCACAGTTATTTTCAAACACTGCCTGAGTTTCATTTTTATAGCTGAAGTACAGTTCATGTATGTTCTCGTCYCACATTACCCACAGATGCTTGTATTTCTGCTCTTTTTCTTGATGATTTAGGAATGCACTAGAAATAAAAGAGTTGGTCTCACTGTTGAACAGTTTTCAAAGCCAAGAAAATATTGTGCATCATTTCCTTAATGGAGTCATAGTTAGGTAACCTTTTTGTTTTCTGTTTTTCTAATGCAATAGAGATCAAAGGCGGAAGAGAAAATCAAACTTGGTATTTGAAGATATCAAAACTAGCATTGGCTTTTGCAATTATCCACTCAAAACCACCAGGGAAGAGTTCCAAAGAATACACAAAGTTCCTTGCCAAAACTGTATCCGAGCAAGATTTTGGATGGAAATGGAAAGTGGAAGTGCTGGAAGCTGAAGTTCTTCGATTACGACAGGAACTTCTTTTGAACAGGATCTCTCCAAGATTCTGCTTGGAAAATAGTGAGTTACTCAAATAATTTTTGGCTGTGTTCAATAGCAAGGACCCAAACAGCTTTCATGTTGCCTGTACCATTTCTTGTACCTAGATGTGAGASTCTTCAGTGTACAGTTTTTTTGTTTTTCCCAAAGTTCTGAAGTAGTGAAACACTTAATTAATTTGTAATGGGATTGTGCTTATTCAGAATTTACATATTTAACCTTCAGAATCAATATGTATTATACAAAATAACTGCAGACAAAAGTTGTCAATACAGAATGTTACTCTATAACCTTGGAGATACTAGTTTGTTAGAATATTGATGTACTTGATTTACATTTAGAACATCTTAAAGACATATTTCATATTTTTTAACCATTCTGCAGGTGTTTCAAATCAGAATTTWAGCCTAAAGTGTTGGAAGCGCTAATCCCTAATATGTGTAAGAGGAAGGTAGGGCAGGCAAAGGACTGTATATGTGCTGTTTCTGTTAGTGCACTGAGACTGTGGATACTGTGAGTGTTTTTTACMGCATATGATAAAATATTGGAGGTCTGATATTGTTTTCAGGAAAGCTTTTATTCAAAGAAGATTAAAAAAAAATCATGGTCTCAAGCAGATCTTTTTCTCTGACTTGTGCATGTGAAGTGAGTCATACTCAATTCAAGAGATCAGTGGCTCCATGTGAGCTTGGAAATCAGGCAGTGGAGGATTTCTGTAGGCTCTGGAGGGATATTTTCCTGATATGGAAATGGAGGTCAAAATGYTCTGGGCTGAAGGAGAGAGAAAGTTCACGGTTGAGGGGATCTCTAAAATCAAGATGTATAGCTAATTGCTCTATGACTTGATATTTTTGGGAGGTTCCCTGGGGGAAAACTTGATGGGACTTTACCACACTGCTTTTGTACTGAAACAGTAGCTTCTTTATTGCCTTGTGAAAAGATTTCTAGCTTCTAACTTTGATTGATAGGGAGGATCATTAGACTTTAGCCAGAAGTTCTGATGGTTTATGTATTTAATTTGTATAATAGACTTTTCTCTACAGATAAGTGATTTAATGACTATTCTTACTTAGTTATTGTCTGTGTGTCTGTTTTCTGCAACCTGTTGCAAACATGACATTTAAGACYAAAAGTAACTTTTCAGACTTTTCCAACAGGTGTCTTATGTTTTGAATGACTGGCTGCAAATAATCAGCAGAGATTTTTAAACATCTAATATCTGGAGAGGATATTCTAATTGTGGATTAAGCAGAACATATCAAACACTATCAATTAGCAAAACATAGCAAACAAAATCAATTTATCTGCAACTTCTGTGTTCTAATTTTTTTAAGATTCTTTAAACTCTAAATTTTAATTGGGAGATAGGCAGAGGTARCTCTTCCTGGCAGATAACACTCCTTGCAAAGGATGTTAATTTTYGTTGTTCTAGTCACACTGAAGTTTTTTCATAGACTTAAAAATAAATATTTTCTAATTTTAGACTTAACTGCACTGTTTCTGCCAAGTGTGCATTCATGATTACAGTTACACTGGAGACCAATGCTCAGTCAGTTGCTCACTTGTTTTGAGTAAAGAAAGATCATTACTGGTRCCTGGTGGAATCTATGCACTCCTCAGCTGATAAAATTGATGATGTCTATTAGTAGCGGAATATCTGCAGTTGATATATATGGGAAGATGGCTGTAGAAGCAAGGCGTACCTGAAATGGGGGCCACTGCACCACTGGCATCTTCAGCCCCAAGAAAAAAAACAAAACACTCCTTTCTTATGTGTTGTGCCATTTTGGAGATTGTTCAAGTCCATGGAGATTAGAAGCTAAAAGGTGGCTACTKCAGAGATACAGAGGCACTAGGAGCTTGAATCTAAGTTAAGAGAAAAAGTGGTAATAAGTGATGTTTCATCCTTGTAAGTGAAACTCCTGTAGATCCATCCATTGTTACAGTGTTGTTGATGGTAGATGTTGCCCAATTTACCACCTATTATCACACCAGATTATAATAACATCATACTAACTCTATAGGGTTGAGGATGATAACATGTTCTTAGTGCCAAGTAATCTGCAGATATAAATGTATCCTTTTCCTCCTCCACACATTTCTTCAGCCTCTTTTCTGGAGTTGATGTTCTGCTTAAAATAATGCAGCATCTTAAAAACATTTCAAACCCTCAGCTTTTCTGTGGCTTTCTTGTGTTTTGATTAACAACTCGTTAGATAGAAGAATACCTGGTTTTCAGCACCAGAAAGTCTTGTTCAGTAAGGATAAGATACTGCATTTGTTTCTGCTGGTGCCTCTTGAGAAGTGAAGAGTTTGAGTCCTTCAGCCRAGGCTCACTTTGCAGCTGTATCTTCTCTGCTTTGCATTCCAAATGTGAGAGCTTTCCTCTCCCACCTGCTGTTTGTAATAATAATAGTAGGTCTTTCAGAGGCTTCAGGAATGATTAGAGACTGCCCATGGAGTTTTATTTCCCTGATGTGAGAAATTGGTGAGCTCTTTGAAGCTGTGATACCTGTTTTCCCCCTCCACATGAAGCTGCGCACMGTAAAGATGTGCAAATGCATGAAGGATAAAGGAGTATAATTTTTAATACATACGGTGCCTAAATTTTTTTCTGTCCCACCTGAATAATTCTTTGTCCTCAGAGACACTAAAAAAGTTGTGTGTTTCTAACTTGGKGGGAGAAGCATGCTTTGCTGTAGATAAACTGCTTGGTGGTATGCGTTGTTACAGTTTTATATGTTGTTTATGAAAGTGCAGTGATGTGCTGTGTCTGGAAGTTCCTTATTTGACTTGCTRTTCAGTTGTCTTTTTGAATACAAGGACTCTATTCATCTTGGTGATGCTTTTGGCTGTACGTCAATCATCTRAGGAGGAGGAGAAGCAAATCTTTTGGCAATTATCTGTTCATTAYTTTTCACCTTGACAGTATTGTCCTGGCAACTATGCCCATGGGTAGAAAAAAAAGTCAAATTTTATAATAAATCAAAGTTTCTTACCTTTCTTTGATTCAGTTTAAAATTTCACAGAAAGAAGGATAGAAACTTGGTGTTATTCTAAGAATAAGTATATATAGTATTTCAGCATTCTGTTGTCACTTTGCTTTGGAGCAACATGAAAAGATAAAGAGTCTTACAAAGCATTGATGAATTGATAGATTCATGGATTGAAGCACCTGTCCACTAAGACAAATTCCTTCACTGTTATCAGCTCATAAAATCAATGATCATATTGTTTCTTGGCAGGCTGTATTAAAGAGCTCTGAAAAGCCTGCAGCTGTTACTCCTGCCCAAGAAAGCATAGATGCAGTACCCTACCCTTTTTTTTTCCACATATGTATTTTAGGAATGATAATTTAGAGGATACATATTTATTGCCTTGGTTGCTTTAGGCTGGTACTCTTGAAGGTTCCAAATCGATTATYCAGGGTGTATGTTTAGCAAAATGTGTATCAAGTATGTGTTCTCTCTTCCTTTACTTCACCTTCAGAGTTTGTTCAAGTTATTCTGTTATGCAGTGGGTAGGAATTTACTGAACTGCCTGCTCCTCTAATTAAAATAAAAAACAGATTCTCTTCCCCCCCCATACTTTTTTAGAATTAGATTGGTCTTCCTTTTATAGATAGTTTGCAGTAGAACTTCTTCTGCCATGCCCTGGAGTCCCCTCCTGTTCTTAGCCTCCAGAGTGGCATGTGTGCCAGCCCACCCTACCACAGTGTGTCTTTGTGTTTGGGAAAATGCTGAGCTCTGAGTCAGAATGTGATTAATATGAGTGTCTGGTTTTTAACTGTATCCCGAGGTTGTGTTTCACCTTTCCAGATACAGTCCCCTAAATTCTATTCCCTGTGTCAAAGAAGCAACTTGTATCTCTTTCAGGAATAAGACCCAGAGAAAAAAAAAATTGTATTTCCTGTTTCACTCCTTAAATTGGTGTGTTTCTTGAGACATTTAGTTGTATGTGTGGAAAAAGGGAGCAACTTCCTTTGTCAATTATTGTGGATGAAGACACTTCAGTCTTACTTCTCACTGGAAGCTGAGACTTGCTGTGACATAGAAGCTTATAGAACTGGAACCGGACAGTTCAAAAGCTGGAGTAAAACTGATTATAAGCAATATAGAGCTACAGTTTATCAGCAGCCTTGGTTTGGGCCACAGAATTCAGCCTTTGCTTCCCTTTCCACTKCCCTTTAAGTCATGGCTTGGAAACTGCTTAAAAGAGAGAGGCAGAAGTTCTGGGTGCTCACCTTATACTGCAGGATTTCCTGGTAGGCAAAGACAGGATCAGAKAAGTCCTGCTTTGATGATGGCAGGAAGAGTGATAACCAATTAAAATATTTTCTGAGTAGTTTGATTTCAGACTTTTAAAAGGGCAATTATCTCCATCATGACTTAAATAATGTAACTTGTSATGTTTCCCCTGCTTCCTTACATTAAAAAGAGTGGTGAGAGAATGTAATTGATAAGAGATTTTGTTAGCTAATTTTCAAAATGAAAACAATTAGATGAATTCAGAAAGCTTAGACCAAAACATGAAGATTTCCTCAGTGGATATATTATCTGCAGCCTGATAAAGGAGTCTTCCTTGTTAGTGGAGTTAACAGGTGTCCAAATCTGACTGAATRGTAGTGATACAAACATATTAGTTTATTAGGAGAAATTATTACCCTCCGCAGAAGGTAGGTGAAACAGTGTGGAATGTTTGTATGCGTTGTGAATACCACTTAGCAGCAATTTGAGTTCCCATGACATGGTAGTAAGGTATAGGACTATASACTAGAATTTCCAAGTTATCATGGTATGTTTAGGGAAAAGCTGTTTTTTCAGATTGGTATGTTTAAATGAGCTGCTGTTACAGATTGCTGTGTCCTGTCATCACTTTCCCCCCCCTGGTATTTGCAAGGAGTACAAAAGCACGACAATTGCAGAGAAACTGTCAGCCTCTGAGGGATATCTTTTACTTCTGTGTTTTTCTGTCTTCTTTTTTCTAAGGTGAGAGGATTCTCTGTTGGGCTACAGTCAGCT